CAAAAGAGAAATATTATTTTCCGATTCTTCTCTACACAGGGACAATGATATCTCTTTGTTTCAAATTATGAAAATGTATTGCGGTAATTACTTGCTATTCATTGCTCCACCGTGAGACACGGAGTAATGGACAGCGGACCAGAGTGGGGAATCGGAAAGCCGAGTTCGAATTCCAGTCGAATCCATTCCAGTTACTTACGTGCTAATACTCTTAGAAAAGGTATGAAATATCTTCTTCTCCCCTACCCACCATTTATACGTAAATAGTAGGAGAGATCGGGTTCTATAGCCTTGGATGGCAACTGGTCTAACGCATAAAGAAACGGCAACTTATTGCGGGGAAAAAAATCTGCCTCGTCATCCCTGTATCGAAAGATACATGATCGCTTATGCGTGTATCACGCATGGAACATAACAGACTGACTGATCGCGGTAATATTAAAGAGTAACTGTTTTAACCGCGGTTTAATAATGGCTTTGGTTTCAAGAGTCGAACTAGAAATAGACATCAGAGTTGCTAATACGCAACTAATTAAAGAACCGAGTGCTCTTATTTGACACCATGGAATAATAGTAATACTAGTATTAGTATTATTAGTAGTAGTAGTATGTATATACTGCATATTCTATTGCAGTCGATCGGATCTGTGGATACCATTCAATTATTTTATGTGTCAGCTGATGCCGAAGCTCAAGGGAAATGAGAACCTTGCTTAATGATTTATTCATGTTTTTTTTGCCACCTTTTTATTGGACGGAATAATGAATGGGAAGGTGTCCAGTTATTCAATACTCCATAGTAATGATCCTTAGGCAATCCATAATCGTGTACCGCCGATATCAAAACCATTGTATTTCATGCTCTCAGATTCTAGTCTGTATATTTAAGTCTTAGTGTATTTGAAGAAAATCATCATGGGTTTTTTGCACTTTCTATCGAACTGATATTTTCAGCGACACCCTTCGAGAGATTCAATGTCTACTGATGTGTTATCTTGTTATATACGGTTAGCGTCAAATTTTAAGAATCGACTGCGAAGATAACCAAAGACAGACAAACAGCGAACTACTTTAAATATGATATAAATAAGAAGCCACACCTTGAGTATATATAGGAAAATCGAATCCGAAATATAAGTACTTAGGTGAGTGTAGAGATTTGGCACAAGGCCGAAAGTATGGGGCATCCAGTGAGGATTGAACTCACTTTTCAGTAGTAACTGACATAGCAAGACAAGATTGCTAACCATTACACCAGGCCGAGGCGTCCAATACTTACGTGAGTGTATATTGATTATCGCTAATTTAACAGGATGACACAAGTTGGTGTGACAGGGACATCGTTTACGGATAAATATAATTGTTATATTAGCATTGATATATATATATATATATGTGTGTATGTGTGTGTGCGCGCGCGCGTGTGTGTGTGCGTGCGCTCGCGAAGAGAACGCTAACCTTAGAAGATGCAAAAAATCACTCTCCTAAGAGATAGCATCAGCCATAGGCATAAATAGTTCTTTCTCATTATATATATATATATATATATATATATATATATATAATTATTTATTTAAAAATATGATTCCAACACGCTACAAGAGGTCTCATGTTTCAAAACAAGAGCCGAAAACTTCAATATAATTATTTGAATTAAAGTAAGCTCTGTTCCATCTTCAAGCGAAATTTATTTTGGAATAACTTACTTTTGAAATTTACGTTTTAATAGCATATTCATTATTGAAATCAAAATTTCCATGGTAACAGCAAGGGCAGTTGTTTAAATAGGGAGGGGTGGTGCGTGTTAATAATTTGTATCATTATAGAGTTACATTCATAGATGTCAAGTCAGGGTAAGGTGGGGGTGTCTAAATTTAAAACGGAAGATGTTTTCGCCTAGTCTGGTTTACGTGTCTATGGAGATTTATTTATTTTTTTATTTTATTTCTTTATGAAAGGGTTTTGTGTATATATTATTTCTTTATGAAAGGGTTTTGTGTATATAAAAAAAAAAAAACCCACCGTAACATTTGTTTTTTGACGACTTCATAAAAGGTTATCTTTTTTGTAGGGTATTTAAACTATTTATTAGGGCTATGGATTATAAAAATTAGTTTACTGTATGTTTGTTTTTAAGCTAATTATTCAATGCAAAAAAACGTTAACTCCTGTCTATTGTTTAATAGATTTTTATTATTTAGAAACTTAATAATGTGCAGTTTCTCATGGAGTCACAAAGGGTCATCCCAAGTTTTACAAGTTCTAGTCTTCCATTTTACTTTAGGTGTCCTATTTATTTCCTTCAAATGTCAAAAATATTTAGATAGAGAAGTCTGATCTATTTTATTTATATTGTTGAAAGAACACTTATGCTGCCTCCATCTGGTTTTAAATTCATTCTTCTATTATATATATATATATATATATATATATATATATATAAAGAACTATTTATGTCTTTCGTTAGTATGGCTGATGCTAACCCCTAGGATAGTGATTCATTGCTCCTTCTCAGTCTTGCTTTCTCTTCTCATCTGCAGTGGAAATATTATTTTGAATCAACTGCTTGCTTGGATGTCGGTTCATTGCGTCGTGCTAGACAATATATCTCGCCTGTATCTATCTTACATATTGATAAGTTGACCATTTCTCCATACTTTTAATATTTCTGCTACCTATAATCTAATGCTCCTGTTATTTATGTACAGAAGATATAGTTGCACTCTCTTACTGAACTTAATTTTCGAAAAAAATATTTGTCACATTTGAGACAATACGCTGCCTAATATACATTCGATGTTCTATTTTTCTATTTTTTTTACTTACACCCCTGATGATGGCTAATGTGGCTGGAAACCGTTGACTGCGTCTTTGGACATAAAAATGCCATGTTCGCGAATTTTTTAACAGATACTTAAAAATAAATAACGATCAATATATTTAATAGGTATAAAACAACCTTTTTTTCATAGGATATATATATATATACAAGAACGTTTACTACCAAAATGTACTGAATATAGATGTATGAGTGTTAGAAATTATGGGAGGAATCTGCTCAAGGGTGTGACCATAGTTCATGTTATCAGATGACATCTTTGTCAGCTGGGGAAACTTCTGACACAAATATACATGTGCATGTCATCTTCGCTTTACGAGCACTGTCTTAATATTGTCGCCTTGGATAATGAGGAACAATGTTTTATTCATTGGACGATCATTAGCGTTTGCCAACAATTCTCCCCTGTTACTTCTTTTCTATCTTATATATATATATATATATATATATATATATATATATATATCTTTTTATTCAACCATTTCTTTCCCTCCGGCCTTAACCATCATCAGCACTTCTTACAAAAAAATAAAAGTAAAGATGAATGTACTTAAATGTTTCGACACGTCAAGCCATTCCGTCAGACATGCTCATTTGAAAATCATCAGCGCAACAACCTGGGCAAGGTTAGATGCAAAAGTAAGTCTATTTTTGTGTTCTTAATTTTCATTTATTTTTAGGAAGTTCGTATATGAGTGGAAATCAACGCTATAAAATGGTCATCGTTTTATAGTAAGCGAATACATATAACTTCTTTTTTCTTTTTTTTAACTTTTTCAAGAGAAGTCGAAACTTTTAATGAATCTACCTCTATAACATTTTCAGTTATAGAAGAAAATAAATCATAGAAACTTTTTTTTTTTTTAATCAGAGGAACAACCCTTAATTCTATTTTCTCTGAATTGGAAAAACAAATATATTCCTTGAATCTTAATCGGGAGTCAAGCTTCATTTAGAAATAGTTCCCCCCCATCCCGACGGAAATTCAATTATACACAGAAAAAATAAGACGTCTAATCTCGACACTAAAAACTGTTACTGAAATGAAGCATAACATAAGCTTTGTTTGTTGACGACCATGAGTAGGCGGTCAATAAATTGTATTTTTGGTATCCCTGTCCCTCGGCATATGAGGCCTTCATTTAAACAGTAAACATGTCTCCACTCTCCTTAACTAACACAAGGGGACTCTAAGAAAAGAAAAGCAAAACCATTTACTAATCTCATAGGTTTATTCTTCTATTTGCTGAGTTCTTTTCGGGCGTTGGCGATACTGGCTCTCCACAATTTCCTGTCCTTTATAGCTCTCAGAAAAAATTTTCTTTTGTAGCTTTCCTAATTCCGGTTATGCCAACAATTTACAGAAGTTCGTTAGGTAGGTTCCGTCCTGAGTATGACGATAAACTACATCTGGCAGCAAGGCATCCAACCGGGAGATTTTGAGAAGCGTGGGGCCACCTCTTAATTGCTGTGGTTCCCAGCTCCATACTCACCCGGGGTGGTAAAACCTGTTAGGGGCACAACTCCGACATTATGAAAGTGTAAACATTCCTTTTTTGTAGTAGACGTGCCAGCAAGGAATTTTCATAGTAAATGAATTACCAGCAATATATTTTTATTAAAAGAAAAATAAAATAGTACCATCAATACATTTTTGAAGAAATAAATTTACAAGCAATATATTTATTAAAAGAAAACGCTAATGCCCACAAGAAAATTAAATCATTGACGTTTTCTGATACTAATTATAAATTTCCTTTTTGTACCCTTCTTCTTTAAAACTTTGTTGATGCTTACATATTCAGTCTACGTTATTCTCATCATCCTTCTGTAGAACAACATTTTTTTCTCACCTTCATCTATCATTCAGTACTCTTTTCTTTGAAACGAAATTTTCTGTCTTTGTTGCTAGTAATAATATGCTATTTTTGCTTGTACTTTTTATCTAGATCAGTACCTAAAAATATATAAAATATATAAATATATATAAAATCGAAAATCGAATATATAAATATATATAAAATCGAAATATTAATTTATATAAAAACTGATGAATTTTGGAAGGTCTGTTAAGATGGCTTGAAAGAATAAGATATCTTACGCATAAGGCCTCAATATAGGCCTCTCTAATTCGGGATGTCAGGTCAGATTGCAGGGTCTTTCGACCACATTATGGTGACACACCGTGCCCCGTACGATCACCGAAGTTAAGCAACATCCAGCCTGCTCAGTACTAAGATGGGTGACCGGTTGGGAATACCGGGTGATGTAAGCTTCGATGTGCGACGGAGTGCCGAAGTTCCAATTCCAGTTTTGTTCGGTATATTCACTCACGCGCAAATATCCGTAGGAAAAGTATGAATCTGTACCCCCCCTACCAGCCATGAGTTAATGACTATGAAATGTATCATGAAACCATTATCATCTCAATAATAATAATAATAATAATAAACTCACGTGCAAAATATTTAGATTTCGGCGTTAAATAACGTATTATAAGTTGATATGCAGCTAAACAAAACAAAACAAAAAATAAAATTGCAAAATCCATAAGAATGGGTATCTCCATAGAAAATGTTGCATAAAAGGAAAATACCCGGTTAAATAACAACGAACAAAGAAAAATCAAGAGCACAGATGAAAACTAAAAACCTCGAAACTGAGCTACATCGGAGAAAGGAAAATCTGGGGTATGTATAGTTATTTTCCAAGCGTAGCTTAAATGTGCCACAAGGCCGAAAGTATGGGGCACCCAATGAAGATCGAACTCATTACTCAATCGTATATGTTCTAGCGGGACAAGCCTAATCTGTGGTATGTATATACTGAACAATTAGACGTATACTGGTTTTAAAAAAATATATGTCATTGTAACTTTTGCAAATGATCCTGTACCTTAGGATTCGCGACAGAAAATGCCCAAATGTTTGAATTGAATTTTAATATCAATAAACAACATTTAGGATGATACAATTTGATATGTAATGATCGATGTAATAATTTTTAGTTCAAATGTACTTATTTTAAAGCAATAAAAAAATAGAATTTGCACACCAGTGCATGAGAGAGTTAACGTCATAGCCACTGAGTGCAAATTCCCGCCCGATAGAAAGTAAGTGACCGCACTTAACAGGTAAACACGTAGCCGATCCGGTTGAGATTATACGTACGTGATTTTACTGAAGGAAATTAGCCGCCCTGAAACTGTAAAACTTATGATATATATCTTCCAGATATCTTACCTTGTTAACTATATCTTTACGTTGTAAGCTAGTCAGTAGTTACGAAGAAAAACTCCAAATATATAAATTATTTCGTGAATATCTAATCAAATCAGAACTATATTATTTTTTTATGAAATGATACGTAATTTAACTACCATCGCATCTTAGAATGCTTTGAGAAGGTTTTTGTTATTAAATGTATTTAAATGAATACAAAAAATATATTGCTAGTATATCAAAATATATAATATGAAAATATGATTTCGTAGTTGCATTATGTCTTGTAACAGAAATGTTTTATTTTTACTAAATTCCCTTTTTTTTAAACAAACACCAGTGATGAAATTAGGTGTTACCTAGATCATTTGAAAAGTATTTTATTTTCAATCATTCCTTTCACCTGTTACGCTTTTCATATTGATATGAAAGAAAAAAAAGATGTCAGAGAAAGAATCGTCCATTTATATTTATATTTGCAACAATTTTAACGCTGAACATTTCAGATTTCGCTTCTTTTTTTTACTTATTTTCTTGCTGAATAAACAACTTTCAAAAAATGTTTTTGCACTTACCACCACTCATTTTTCAGTTGAACTGTATTCAACTTTAAGAGAGATCAGAATTACTTACCTGCAAAATAAAGAAAAAGAAACCAATTTTAATATAAAATGTATGAGCTTGTGGCATTGAAGAAACACGTTTTTCATTGCAGAACATTTATTGATAAATCCCATTAAATCTCAGAAAACTTTTTTTGATAATAGAATATTGAGGAATACTTCAGATACTTGGAAAGGTGAATTAAGAAAATATTAAATAATAAACAAACCCCAAATGCAAAGCGTGTGGATAGCATTCAATTAAGACTCATGTAAGAGATTCTTTGGCTTGTAAGAAAAGATAAATGAAAGAAAAAATAAGGTACATCTCTCAGATAAAATAAACTTTCACTAATAAATACATCGGGGGTTGAAAAGGAGATAAATGGCTCCCAAAACAGGAAATAGATATCTTATAAAATCGTTTTCAACCTAAGTCAAAAATATATAAAATATTGGCTGACATGGGAACATATATCAGTGTGAAAGAATTTGGCATATACAAAGAGATTGATCAGAATGATTAGTCCTACATATAATGATAGGCATTAAACAGTGAATTAATGCATTAACATAAAAGGAATCTGCTACTGATGATAACACAATATCAAATGATAATATTTCTCCACCAATAGAATTAACAAACCAAGAAAGATAATGCAGCACCTTGTAAAGTTTGGAACAGTAGTAATAAAGAATCATGAAAATAAGATATCTGGAATATATTTCACGTCATTACGTGCGAAAATCCTGCGCTCAACTGGGTCGACTACGTGTTTGCATATCTGAGGTAGCGACTGATATATATATATATATATATATATATATATATATATATATATATATATATATATATATTTTTATTTAAGAATATGATACTAACGCTTCATAAGAGTTCTCATGTTTCAAAACAAGAACCGAAAACTTCAATATAATTATTTGAATTAAATTGAATTAAAGTACCATGCTCGGTTCCATCTTCAAGCGATTTTTTTAAAAAACTTCGCTTGAAGATGGAACAGAGGTTGGTGCGTTAATTAAAATTTAATTCAAATAATTATATAAATTTGGGAACATACAAGTAAAGGAAATTTTGTTTTGCGACTATAGGATGATTAGAATAAGGATATTAATAGAGTAATAGTAATTAAAATGAATAAATTAGAACAGGTCTAAATTAATAACAATAAATAAACATTTATATACATGCATATATTAATGGTCTGATTATAGTTATAAAGATAGAGACTACGGGTTTGTTGACTGATTTTTTAACGTCATATCAACTGCTATGAAATCTAAATATGTGGAACACAACTGTATGCCTTCAGCCAAAGATAAAATATATTGTTAGGTGATTTTGCTACAAAAATATATTGTCTGCTACAATGCAACTTATAAGCGTGTATACAAACATAGTCAGTCCCTATCCATCTAGTAACGTTTTGTTTTTGTTTTTTTTGGTTTTTTTGTTTTTTTTTTTTGGGGGGGTAAGTAACTCTTTTTACATGCGATTATTTTAAAAATGAATTATAATAATTCAAAATTTATGGGTCTCAGTTTAATCCTAAATTTTGGGGATTAACTCTGAGAACGTAATTTCTTTTACCTTTTTGTCATTTTGTGAATAAACGAATGAGGTTTAGTCAGTCAGTTATGTGCCATGCGTGATACACGCGTAGGTGATCATGTATCTTTCGATACATGCAGATGTTTTTTCCCGCAGTAGGTTACCATTTCTTTCTGCGGTAGAACAGTTTGCATTGAAAACGTTACAGTTAATCAGATAAATATATATATATAGATGCCATAAGTAAACAGATCTTAATCTAACAAGTTTATTTATTAAATGTTTAACAAGGAATGCAAAAGATTATAAAATACGTTACATTAGAGGATTATCTCTGAGAACAAAAAGATGTGTACAAAGAAAATGTTGATCATCTAATGGGGAGGTTATACCGTATATACTGCATTTTTCAATTATTTTTTTTGATTCTTTTATATATATATATATATATATATATATATATATATATATGTAAAAGCAAAGGATTTCTCTCAGAAAACCAGAACAGTTATATTTCAAATGTGTCGATTGTCTAAAATCTAAAAAGTAAGATATATATATATATATATATATATATATATATATATATATATATATATATATATATATATATATATATATATATATATTTATATATATATATATATTTTAAGGTACGCCCCACGTTTCTTAGCAAGGCGTGAAGCAACTAGGATGCAGGGGTTGCAGAAGATTTGGAGCGAGAGCAGATAGGATTGATAGGAAGAAAGGATGAGGAGAAGGATAGGGGGCCTAGATCAAGGTAAGTGGAGGTGTCGATTGACATTACATTTGAATAGTTGAGATTATAGCTCTCAGGGAAACAGTAACTGGGAAGGGTGTTCCACAGGCAAGAGCTGCGAGATATGAAGCTATTGGAAATCAGAAGAGACGGCTACATTTAAAAAGTTTCAATAGTGTAAGACGGTGAAAGGGATGCCAACCTGCGTAGGGCGCTTGAATTCATGGAGTCTGGGGAACCAAATCCCGGAAAGCAGCTTCTCGGAGCAATTGCCATGAAAGTATTTGTAGAAAAGACAGAGAGAGGCGACGGCGCGTCTGTGAGAGAGTGACTGTAGACGAGATGCCAGATCAAGACCAATAACATTACATATCCGTCTCTGGATCTTGTCAAGAACTCCAAGGTAAACAGAAGGTGCTCCGGACCATATATGGCAGGAATACTCCATGCATATATTATCCTCGATATAAAAAACATTTTTATTTTTAGATAATATAGGAACATAAATTTTACCTTCTCTGATAGATATTTATCAAACCAGCACAACACTTTTACTGACTTTTTTCCGTAGCTGAAAAAGTTTAACTTTATGTTAATTGAAGTCAAGCGAACAAACAAAACGAAATTTTTAATTCTACTGCCCTTTGCGTATTAACAAATGAGAACATAAAGATTTTTTAAAAAATCGTCCAGTCAACAAGGGATTTCTTTATTTGAGACCCAGAAACTACCAATAGGTTGTCTATGCCTGAAACATGAGATAAAAATTGATAAGAATATCAGCTTGCAACCGAATGAAACAAATATAGTTTCACTAATAAACAACAGCCTTTTTTAAAGATATAGCAATAACTTCTACTTCCTAAAAATTATATCAGTTCCAGTCGGAAAATATTTTAAATAAGGAGGCTCAACAATAAGCAATATCTCTTCTGCATATTCCGCCTTATTCATGATAATAAATATATCTTCTGAAAGAATCATTTAAAATCGGAAACTTAACAATAGACATTTTCTATTCTGCATATTCATCTTTGATTCAGGCGTGATAATGAATATATAGGCTCAAACTATCATTTAAAAACGGAAGCTCAAAAATAGTCTATATTCCGTCTTGATA